AGCTAGCCTTGAGCAAAGAACTGAGGGACAGTGTCCAGGCCCAGAGTTCAGACCCCACTACCAAACAGAAAAAAAAAAAAAGTTGATTCCAGAACTAAAGGTTGAAATGCTGAACAGTAGTCAACATACATAGCCTAGAATAAGCTGTAATAATTGTTGTTTTTCAGACTTTAATATAGTCAGCATGATCTATGGCTAGAAAGGGAGCTTAAACATATGTATTCAAATTTAAATTGCAGGTTGATTTTTATGGCTTCTTTCTTTTTTCATATCAGTACTGGGGCTAGAACTCAGAGCTCTAGATCTCACTTTTTTCTTCAAGCCTAGCCCTCTATTTCTTGAGCCATGCCTCCTTTTCCATCTTTTTGCTGGCTAATAGGAGATAAGAGTTTCTCTGTTTGATTTGTGGAGTTAACTTTGAATCTTGATCCTCAGATCTCAGCCTCCTGAGTAGCCAGGAACACAGGCATGAGCCACCAGAACCCCATATATTTGTCTGTTGATTTGAACTCACTTAGAGATTAGCTCTTAACTTTGCATGGGATCTTGAACTTAACCCATATATTCTGGAATCCACAATCTTGGCTGAAAATATTGAAAGTTAGAAGGTCTGGGATTAGTTTTAATTTTACCACAAAGTAACTATGACTCAAGAAAATCACTTGAATCATCCTGAGTAATAAAATAGAGACCATAGGACTTGCTCTGCTTGAGTGTCTAATGTAAAGGAAGCTTGAAGTGTTGCAAACTCTGACCAGGGGTTTGTTTCCCCATTACTACATTCTTTCTAGATTAGACCCTGTAAACTCTCATTGAGAGAGGGGCATGGAATAGATAGTCAGATTTACCTTAATATCTTTTCCCAGCAGTCCTGACAACAGATGCAAGCATCCACATTTTACATCTCAGACAACTGAGGCTGAGAGTTAAGCAGTTTACCACAGATCCTTCATCTCAAGAGGAAGAAGGCTAGAATTCAAACCTTTCTGCCACCAAAAGCAAGTGCCTTTTTTATCTCTATATTGATGCTCTCATTTCTTTAAATAAATAAGCAAATAATAATCAGAATAAAGTTGGGGTCACAGGCTTAGGTTCTTAGGCTTTTGCAACAAAGCATACTCAACAGACTGTTGTGAGAGTTTTGGAAGGTTTTCTTACAAATTTTTAGTAAAATATAAGCAATAGAGGCAAATCACCTCTTTAGTCAGGTAGAGCAGTGTTAACAATTAACTAAAATTTGTATTCAAAAATTTAGATGGATAAGATCACCTAAAGAAACTCAAAAATACCCAGAAAACAAGATTGATTTCTGCTCAGTAATTTGAATGTTCTCTGAATTACGTAGTGTAGGCAAAAATTACTAGTACATTTTTTCCAGGTGCCAGTGGTTCATGCCTATAATCTTAGCCACTCAAGAGGCTGAGAACTGAGGAGAGCAGTTCAAAGCCAGCCCCAGAAAGAAAATCCTTGAGACTCCTTTATCTTCAATTAACCACCAAAAGGCTAGAAGTAGAGCTGTGGCTCTAATGGAGAGCACCAACCTTGAGTGAAAAAGCCAAGGGACAGTTTCAAGGCTATGAGTTTGAGTCCTAATACCAGCATCTGAGAGAAACAGAGAGAGATTTATTATGTGTGGTTTTTAATGAGATAATCATTCATGACAGAGTGAAAGTTTCACATTTGTTAGTGGACTTTTTTAAGATCACAAAGGGCAATGGCTAGTTGTAAAATAGGTATTGGGTTTGATAGTAAGTGCCACTTGAGCCATCTGCTTTCAGTCAAAGGTCTCTGACCATCCACTGACAGCATTATCTCAGTATTCAATTCCCACTTAATGTCTTACGGCTAAGGAGGGCCTTACAAACATTTCAGTGTCTTAAGTTATAAATACCCTCTTTTACAGAAAGCAACCGGCCCTGAAGCACTAAGGAGTTTAGGTAGATGATACTGCTCTAAATTACCCTCACTAACAGTGCTACTAATAAATCCAGTTAAGATCCTAGGGCTACATTTTTAAAGACAACTAAAAGAAATGATATTTGGCATCTGTGAGCTTCTTAGCTGTTGCTAAATGCTGCCAGAGCTGGGGTGCTATTTGTTTTCTCTTTGTCATGGTGTTTACATGCCCTGGCTTGGGCCCCAGTGAAATGCATTTGATGATCTTTTGGTCTCACCCCAATCCCTAATGGATGTTTGTCTAAATGACAACATCCAGTTTAGCACTGTTAACACCGCAGTGAGAATGTGGGGGATGTGTATAACATGTGACAGTCAGAATGTGAATAGCAAGATCAGGAACCTTCTATGATATTTCCTCCTCTAGTATTCAGTTCTGGAAACATCTATTTGCTCTATCCCCTTTAATGCCTTATTTTAGGAATCAGACAAAAAATATTCATTGAGTGGAAGAATCTCAGTACTTGAATACTACCCCCTGTGAATGTTGTACTGGACTTCCTCTTAGCACAGAGCTTGCATCCTTGACATGGACCAGCTTATGCCAGTTGGAAGATGTCATCCTGGATGAGCGGCTGATGGGCTGCTGTCTGGTGTCAGTCTCTGGCACAACACACACAGCATCCCTTCTGTAGGTTTGATTGTAAGCTTGATTAACATAGCGAGTCCCTTTTCAGATACGTCTTCCATTGAATATTTAGCAAAAGGCACAAACATTTCTATTTTGTTCACCATTGTCCCGGGCACTGTATGTGGATGTGTTGGACGCAGTGGGGCCTTTCAGGAAACAGCAGGACGATACTAAGCAGAGCATGACAGGTCTTTAGAGGATGTGCCTGCTCTAACCCAGGCCCACAAACAGACTCTGAACTGAAAGGGGGAGCCATGAATGAGCGTTGACAGCGGGCCACAGCAGTCCGAAGGCTCAGGTGGTTGTCAGCCATAAGTTTAGCTCAGCTCTTTGAGTAATTTGTCACGCCTCGCTCAGCCCCTGCTGGGCCAGCACGTGCCAGCTTAGTGTCAGAGTGCCTGTTCGCCAGACGGCCACTCAGGCCTAACGTCCTGCTGTTCCCCGGACCAGTGGCTTGCTGGGGCCGTGCAGGGAGGGCCGAACCGTGGCGACAGCCAAGTGCTGTGCAGAATAAGCGTGTTCATAATGAGACGTGAATGACATTAGTGGGTCCCTCTAGAATTGGTCCTGAGCAGGCGCCTCTCACTGAGGAAGTTTGGCAGCCTGTTCATTAAGGCAAGTCACCAGGAGTTCATCCCATTGCCCAGGAGCCAGTTGAGGCTCATGATGCCCAGGCCCAGGGCTGTTGTGACCATCTATGGAAAGATCATAAATCATCAAAGAGGCTACTTTTTAAAATCCTCAGAGTAAATTTTCTTCATTTTTTTAAGTTGCATGAGGCCAGCTTAAAGAGAAATTCTGACATAAAGCACTGTCTAGCATTGTTTTCCATGATGATGGGCATGTCCTCTATCTGTGCAACCTGGAACAATGACCCCTAGCTTCATGTGGCCATTGGGTACTTGAAATGCAGTAAATGGAACAGAGAAACTGAATTATTACATTCGTATTTTAATCCGTTACAATTTAAATTTAGATTGCCACTTTTGACTCATGGCTACCACATCAGATAGTACAGCCCTAGAATATCTCTGGCTTCCTTGTGATGTGAAATCATCCTCTGAATATATAAAGGAAGAGGAAGTGCCTTTCATTTAGAAATGAGTGTGCATACCTGTCAAAAGGAAAAAAAAAAAAGCATGTGTTGATGTTACACAAGCTGTATTGGCAGCTAATTAGAGGGGCCTAATTGTCCCCAGCTTATATTATCTCCAGGCCATTTGGAAAAGATAGTTTTAAAATATACTAAAAAATACTAAAATCTTTTTTTTTTCCTCTTTGGAGCTGTCAGTACCAAGCTGATGGTAATCTACATGCCCTATGTTCATGCAGAACTAGCATAATTTTCAAAATGACCAAAGCATGTCCTTTAATTTTTGCATTGATAATGAGGAAGAGGAAAATGAGACATCATGCTGACTTCCCCAAGTGTTAATTCATAAAGTCGTACGTACAGCATCTCTATCCATTGTTGGCTTGTTCTGACATTATCCTGCTATTGGAAGTGCATGATTCACCTTCTGAGGAAGCAGAAGCCACACACAAAGGGGAAGGTTTGCTTTCTGCCCTGTGAAAGGCTGCCACACGCAGGGTCCTATTAGGACAGCTGGAAAGTTGCTTCGGCGTGTTACGCTTGTAAGTTTTATTGGTGACTGGTTTTTGATTACACATTTGAATGCTGTGTGTTCCAGACTGCAGTTTTAATTAAAAGGCAATAGTCTTTTTTTTTTCAATTGCATTGTGTACTGTTTGCTAGATTTTCCTACATACTCTTATTCTCTAATGCTCATAATTTATCTTGGTAGAGACTTCAATGCCCCTTCAGAGTATCCCTTCCAGCCCTCTCTCCCTCAGTAACTTGCATTTTCTTTTTTTTTAAATTTATTCTATTGTAAAGATGCTGTACAGAGAGGTTACAATTCCATAGGTAAGGCAATGAGTTTATTTCTTGTTGAGCGTCTTTTTTGTTTTTTAAAGTATATGTACCATCATATCACTCATTCTGGCTTGAAATGTCAGTTCAAAATGTTGGTAGGTTGAGAGTGCTCTGTGCAACTAGAAAATGCAGATCAGGATCTCAGGGTCTTCTGTCACGCAATTGTCAGAGGAAGGAAGTGTCCTTACAATCATTACCTCTTGTTTTTGTGTAAATCAGCCTTAATGTTGCTTTGATGTGAATCTGTAACTCTTAGCTTACATATGTTTAGTGATTCCGGTGTGGAATACACTTTAAGGCAAAGTTTAAGTGCTGTGTAATGATGGGCCCAGGGAAAAGTTAGTTTCAAAATCAATACTTAATCTTTAACAGTGCTGAAGAAATGAGAAGTAGCACAGCTGTATTGAAAACAAAGTGGTCTGTCACTGTTATGCATGCCATTTTGCACGTGTTGGTCTCCTTAACCAAATACTGCAGCTATGAAGAACGAGCTCTGTATCTCGAAGCAATAATTCAGAACCACCGCGAAGTCATGACATTTGAGGATTTTGCAGCTCAAGTCTTTTCTCCCTCTCCCAGCTACTCCCTCAGTGGAACGGGTGAGTGTCTACGTTATTTTCCTCTCACATTTGAGTAGCAGATGTACACCTGTTTTTCACAGATAAATGCTTGCAAATTTAAGAAGAGCATTCTCCCTCTGAATCAACTAATGAATATCAAAAGGAATGATGACATTCATTTTAATTTGTTTTGTATCCGAGCTGTTCACTCCCTTCCTTTCTTCAGCTATCCTGTTAACCCTCGAATCTAGCAAGGTTAATGAACTTTTTCTCAGTAATGTGCTTGGGTTCATTCAGGAGTGTGGGCTTCTTGCTGAGCTGGGAATATGTTGTTTAAAAGCGATGCCCAAATCACTGCTTACTTATCAAAAAAGAGTTCCTCACAGTGGAAGCCGTTGCTACTAATGCTAAATGGGGATTATGCTGCTGAGATACTAGGGTCAGGGATTAATGCAGGAGACATGGAAGGACAGTGTCCCCGGGCCCATCATTACAGAGCACGGCAGTGTGCGCCCTGCTCTCTGGAGTGGTCGCTGTCATGCAGACAAGCCGTCGGCCAAAGCAGCACCTGGTGTGGAATCTGTTTAGAAAAGCTTACAATCATTTTCATTTATTAGGCCAGTGGAGAATTGAGGGGAAAAAAATTCCACAGATTTCTTTTTTAAGCACTTATTGTTTTATACTTCCAATTTGAAAAAAATACAAGTCCACTGCCACTTCCATTGAGGATATTACTGTGGGTTCCCCCTCCAAAGAACAAAATTTTTACTTGTAAACTTCTACATGTAGTTACAGATTAATTTCCTTTCCAAGAGTAAATGGGATAATCAACACATGTTGAAAGTCTGTGTGAGAGGCTTCCTTCATCTTCCACTGGGTTTGAGACAACTGTGAGAGTGCTTAATAGATTTCTAACCTGTGTCAGCTGTCTCTGAACACTGCCTTGCTTCTCTCCTGACTTGTTAACAAATATCTTATACACAAAGTGAAAAAAAATTAAATTCAGTGAAATAAATCACTTACAAATAAAATCAGCCATGCATCATTGTTGAACATCGCTGGCTTCAATCCGTGTCTCTCGGAGCTTTGTTGAGAGATAAGAGGGAGAGGCATGCACTTGCACAGGGAGCCAGGAGCAGCAGGCAGAAGGCTTGGGAGATAAGCAAGCTGGCAGAGATGCGGAGCCACGATTTACATAATCACGCCTCTGCTTCCTGGTGAGGCGTCAAGAAACACAGGGATGGCCTCTATTGATCTTTGTTGAACTGGAATACTAAACAACATGAGAAAAGCTTATAACTTAAAGCTTTGATTAATGTTTCTTACATTAAAAAAGTAGAACAGCTGTGAATTGAATTCTTTTATACACTCTGCCAACATTCTATCTAGGACCAAAAAAAAAATCTGTTTCAAGGGAAATGAAGATTTCATACCCAGCCTGGCTAGAGATTCAAAATTGTATCTAATTTTTTTTAGAGAAAGAACATGAGGGATCTATAGCAAGGTATTTTTTTTTAAGATCTTATTTACCTTTTCATCTTCATGCGATATTGGGACTTGGTTTTTCAGTGGATTTTTTTAAACTTGAAAAAGCAGCTTATTTCTTAACCAAAAAAGAAAAAAAATAGATGTTTATATGCCTTAACTGTTATACTCTTAAGGTTGTTGATTAATGTGTTTTTAAAAAAAATCAATGGCTTATTTTCTGTGTACTTTAGCCTCTATGTAAATTAATTTGAACTTTTCCAAAAGTTCAAAATTATTTAAACCAATTTAATTGAGTTAATCTACATAAGCAACATTTTGCATGATACTCTAAGAGCAATTTGGGTTTTTATGACTTCAACCTGGAGAGGATTGTTAACAGACTCCAGAACAGCACTTTTTTAATGACTAAACAGAATAAAAATTCTAACAGCATAGAAGGAAATATCCATTGGAACTTTTATAAGGGAAACAAGAAACTACATGTGAGATAGCAATACAAATGACAGTTCTTCATCTCTTCAGTGTCAGTACATTTTAAATGAGGGCCCTGCAGGAAGGGTGGAAGAACCACTGCTCTTCTCATTTACATGCCAGTTTCGCTTTTGAGGAATCCTTGCACCTGTCACTACTTTTACAGATGAAAACATTTTTCATGTTTAGTGTTTTTTATATTCTTGTGACAAACACAGTCAAACCCAGATGAGCCCAGACAGCTTAAACTAAGAAACTGAGTGAAGGCTCCTCCTCCAAGCAACAAGCCAACTGGAAAAATTGACCTTGAGCCGCTTAAGCTCCCACCGTGCACTTAGGACCCAATCAGATCATCTCTGGCCATCAATGTCATCAAAGCCTGCTCACATGCATATGCACGGTGGGAGGAATGAAGGACTCAGAGGTTTTCTTCCTACCTCACAACAATTGGGTTTTATCTCTCCTGGAAAGGGAAGTCACCTGGATACCATTCCTCACTGTACTCCCCATTGTGTATAGCACAAGTCAGAATGCAGTAGGCCTCCTCACTCTTGGGGGAAGACCCTGCTGTCAGCGTTTTGAGTCTGAGCTGGAAAGAGATATGCTAGATGGGACTAAAATGTCCCCAGAGATGCAATTGTTGGAAATGCCCTTTGCCTCAGACTCTCCTGCCTGGGTGCTCACCTCCTACAGAGCCCTGGGAGCCAAAATGGCCAAATGAATGTCTATGGTGCATTTCAAATTGTCTGTAGGGACCTAGAGCTAATATGCCAGACTCAGCTTCTGTCCTAGAGCTTAACATAAAAACAGAGCTTCTCATTTACCAAATTAGTAAGTGGTATTGTAAAACAATCTGTTCCATGTGTTACGTGTATTGATAGCAGCTAGTGTATAGCTGTTTTGCCTTTCTTTATTGATTCCTTCTCTTATTAAGTAGCAATATATAATCTAGAAGGTGTAACCAGTGTTAAATACTGTTTTGTGATTAATATCAGTATGTTTTATTCATTCATATTTATATACAGTTAACCCACATACATATGGGGTTAGGGAAGTAAGTATGTTTATGTTGCCAAAGAGGAAAGCCAACAAAGAGGCTTGTAAAGGGTTAACTGGAATGGGCACCCTCGAGTGCTGAGGAGGGGCTGATGTAATCACTGCAGCTCACAGCCAAGTACATCTGTTCACTATGAGGTCATTCTTCTGCATGTTAATGATTTGGAGGATCTAGTCTAATGTTTGGCATTATCAGAAAATATATAAATAGTATAAATCTTTACCTTTCAGAAGATGCTCTTATAGAGCAAAAAAAGGAAAGAAACTTTTGCATGGACTTGAGAGTTTTTCCTAGAACTGTTCTAAAGCTAAAGATTATGTCTAGACTTTAACATCTTGGAGGAAGCCTCTATGGTCTGTTGGTAAATGAGTCTCAAATCACTCTTACAGTCACAGATAGAAGTTTGATAGTTGAAAATTAGAGCTGTGTCTAATTTAGCGTCTAGAACATTAAGAATTTTCAGCTACTTTGGTCAGAAGTTGGTAAGGATTTTTTTTTCAATGATATCTAAACCAAGTTAAGTGACGTGAGAGTTGACATATTTGCTGAAGATGCCAAAACTGCTTAAAATCCTTTCAATAGTGCTGTAAAGAACCAGCAGAGGGAGCACAAATCTTTGTTTATTTGTTAGCCCTCATAAACACAGCATTTGATTTCTCCAAGACATGGTCAGCAACCCTTTCCTCCCTCATGATAGGCTCAATCATAAAAGCTACAGCATTTAGCATAAGTAGAAGAAAACGCCTAACTCTACTTCATCTGATCTCCCGCTCTAAGTTATAATGGGGCTTACCCCAAATTAGCCTGCGTCGGTCAGACTTAGACAACTGCCTCAACCAACAGCCATTGTCTAGAACTAGAAACTTCATCTTTCTCATACTTTATGAAAGTATCCTTATTGGGGTGGATTAGTGTGTTCATTTGCCTTATAGAATAGACATTTATTATTCTTTTCTACAACAAAACTGTGATGGTAAGTTTATAGAAAGTGTCAGTAAGTCAATTTGATGGTCAGTATAATCTCATAGAGATAGACAGAAGCACTCATGTCACTGCTCAATCCCAGCATGAATATGGGATGTAGACGCTATACAAATTAGTTCTGTAGTCACACCAGCTTCTACTTGCTAACCATACACTATGTTTACCTGTGCCAAGATATTGCACCTGTCAGTCTGCACACATGTCCTGATTACAATTTTTTGTTGGCTCTTACTCTGGACAATTAATAATCAAACTAATCCCCCAAATAGGTAAACTCCAACTTTAATCCCCAAAGAGTTGTTCCAGTCATTAAACGTTCAGTCCTGTTTCAGATGCATTCAGTATTCACTCTTTCTCCCCTGCTCCATGCCTCCCTTTTAAAAAGGTTCCAATTGGTAGCATAGCTTGTAATTTGTAAGTGTTTAGCTTCAGCATAACTTTGCTAAAACTGGCTTTAGAATGTGGAGTTGTAAGGGATTTCAGGAAATACCAGGTCTAACCCCTCTTCATTAACTGTGACTAAGTTGAAGACCCATCCATGAAGGAATAAGCAAAGATGGTTGATAAGCTGGAAACAAGGACAGCTCACTTCTCATCTCACACTTGGACATAATAGCCCTGGTGCCCACCCAGCAGTTTGAAGGGCCTATAATCCTAACTATGGCTTCTGGATTTTTGTTACTATGAAAGGCCAGAATGTGTCTCCATGCAGTTCATCCCTAAATTTCCCCTAAAGTCAAGTCCATTTATATTATTGTTCTGTCTAAGAAATCACAGCCCCCACATTCATAGCCTTAGCATACTCAGCTGTATGTCAGAAATTTTGCCATAGGTTTTACAACTGACTCTTCCTTCATGGCCACTTTCTTCATCCCAATATTTCCTTCTGGCCCAGCTTACGTCTTCCTTTTCACCTGGCCAGTACCATTCTTTAATAGTTTATAGAGGTATTCTTGAAAAGATGATAAGGTATTTATAGGAAATTTTTAACCAACCTTAATTTCATCACTGAAACCCAATGGTGCTCAGCTCCAGCTGC